AGTTGATCTTTAAATATAAGTTCGTATAAATGAAAACTTTTATTGGAATATTTTTCTGGGCGGGTTTGATCCGAACAACCTACTATTATTAAGTATGGTTGGAAACCTTATTGGGACTTGAATAAAAAAAATCTACATTATATAAGTGATATAACGATAGTTTTTAGAACGAAAAACAAAACCGACTTCAAATCTCGCTCTGTATTCATTTTATAATTGATTTTCAAGATTTCTCTAAATCTATATCTCCCGAGCCCAAGATCTAATACCAATGAAATTATTATGGGACTACAAAGGAAACACCACATTTCAAATAAATAAAGAATTTATAAATCGGTCCACCCAGTCAAAAGTTATGAGTTAACAAACATAAAAAAAATACAGTTGAATTGAGAACCTCCTCCTTTTGAAGTCGGTTGAAAATTTGTCCCAGTCTTCTCGAAATTTTTTTTATATCACAGCGATATTTTTGCAGTGGGAGCTTACAGTGTTTTCCAGTTACAGTTGTTTGCGTTTAATTTTATTAATTATCTGAAACCAATCTGATGGTAAACTTCAATCATTTTGAACTTAGGATGTATTTGTTTGTTTAGGAACACCGACTCCTTGGAGACTCGCGAGAAATTTTTGTTTGTCAAATCTTATTTTTAATTAATTTCGTGAACATTTATGTTTAAACTCACTAAAAAATTATAATAAAAATACGAAATAAGCGATTTAAAAGTCCCCTGGCGAGGGTATGCGTGTTAAATTATTTGTAAAATTTTGACGTTTCATAAGAACGCGCAAGCGTATATGTGAATAAAGATATTTTATTATTTATTATTGTTGGGGGATATTCATTTGTTTTCTCGTCTGGTTGAGTTTATAAATAAAAAATAAACAATATAGATACATATTGCATATAAATAAATTAATTAATTGTATTATAAATCATATCATATTTTGTTCGCGACAATCGTCCTGTCTGTGATGATGGGCCGGTCCCAATAGAGCCAGGCGCGGTCATTTTCGAGCACGGCCTCCGAAGAGTACTTGTAGTACGGCAGTTTCCGATCCACGAGGCCGTATTTCAGAGCGAGCTCCTGGTGTAGGATTCTGGCTACTAGGTTGTGTCTATGCAGATACTCAGAGTAGGAAAGCATGGAACAACTGTAAATAACATGCCGAAGCGACTCCCCGGGGTGGGGACAAGCTCGACAGATGTCGACGGGGCCATCCCTTAGGATTTATTTCCGATAGTTGTTCGTCTTAATAACCTGATTCTGTATCGCACAAACAAAAACCTTCGGTTTTCCCAAAGAGGTCACCGAAACGTAGCCAGTTGAGGGAGGCAACAGTATCTACGAAAGGCTCGTGTAGAGCCTTGTAGAACCTCCCGTGGAGCTCTTTCTCCTTCCATACGGCCTCCCGGTCAGAAACGCTCAGTACTCCCGGGTCCTGCCTGAGAAATATGTAAGTGCTTGAGATATGAAGTGCCTCGCGCAGTAAAACCCACGTTCGTTCTTTACTCGCTTTATTTGGAGACTGCCGGTACAATAAAACTTATTTTCTACATATGTTACACCTCCGCCCTTATTTACCGTACAATTTAACAGAATAACATTCTCAACTAATAATAAACTATTTTGCTGCTATTATCTTAGTAATATAATCTTAAATTACATTTACATTGTTGCTATCATCTTATATAATTCTAATTTACTATATTTAATTCCACCATTAACTGTATATAATTCTAACTTATAATTACATCGATATAAAATCTATTTCCTCAAACCATATCTACGAACTGGTTTTATTACTCGTTTAGGACGATTCACCGATGGCACAGAGCTTTCACAACCAGAATTTTTTATTTGAATTACGAGTTGTGTCTTACCTACTGTCCCCTGTTAGGTTCTACTTTCCTTACCATTTCTCTCTCCGGAATCTCCACAGCGGATTTCGTTTCAGGTGATGCAATAATTTCGTCTATAGATGGTACCCTGCATCTGCTTCTTCTCTTTTTAATTTGGTTGATGTGTCTTTTCAAGAAGGGACCACCTTCCTTAATTACTACATAATTACAAGACCCAACTCTCTCTGTGATAGTGCCATCTACCACTTTTCCCCTGTGTAATTGCGAGCCCACACCGGGTCACCTACTTGGAAGTATCTCTCCGTCCCGCCTGCATTACGTACTTGTTTACATTGAGCCTTTATCCTAGCTTCTACCTGTCTATCTTCGCCTAATAGTTCTAACCTTGTTCTTAATTTTCTTCCCTGTAATAATATAGCTGGTGCCTAACCTGTAGAACTATGTTCTACATTTCTATACATCATAAGATATGTTTGCAATGCTTCATCTAAATCTATTCCGTCACGTATAGATTTTTTATAGCTGTTTTACAAAGTTTAACTACATTTTCCGCTGCTCCATTAGAAGCAGGGCGATATATTGGTGTAAAGGTTACTTTAACGCCGTTATTATTCATAAATTCTCGATACTCTCTACTTGAAAATGGTGGACCGTTATGTGAGACTTTTTCCTTTGGCAAACCAAAGCGTGCAAAGGTCGTACGAAGCACCTTCACGACCGCAACTGCTGTAGTTCGTGGCATTAAAAATACTTCTAACCATTTACTTGTAGAATCTATGATTACTAAAAACATTTTGCCTTGCAATGGTCCCAAAAAATCTACATGTATGCGTGACCATGGCTCTGTACTATGAGGCCACGGCTGTGGCGGCGCCTTTGGGGGTGCTGATCCCTCCAGACAACATGTGACACACGCCTGACAAGTCATTTCAATATCGTGATCGATACCTGGCCACCACACAATACTGCGCGCTAGACTTTTCATTTTTACTATTCCTAAATAACCTACATGCAATTCTCGTAATGGTTCCCTTAACTTACTCGGTAATACTAAACGATATCCCCAAACCACGCATCCTCTGTCTAGGTATAGCTCACTGCGTCTTAAAAAGTAAACTTTTAATTCGTTCTCCTTACAATCGTTAGGCCACCCCGTGTTTATAAAATTTATGACTTTAATTAAAATGTTATCTTTACAAGTACTTTCTCTTACGCTTTACTTCGTAATTGGTAAAAAATGCTGAATGAAATTTAAATATGTACATTCCTCTTTCACTTGTTTTTCTCTATCCACTGGTAGCCGAGACAAGGCATCTGCGGCGTTCCTTTGACTACGCACATATTCTATTATATAGTCATAACCGGCTAAATTGATTGCCCAACGTTGCATCCTACTTGCTGCCATGACGGGTATGCCTATTTTATCCCCAAAAAAAAAAATAGTGACTAATGGCTTATGATCCGTCCTTAATATAAATTTACGCACACCATAGATTATAGCGTTATTCACCATAGATATAAAGTTTCTCGTTCAATTTGTGAATATGCTCTTTCAGCTGTGTTGAGTACTCGGGACTCGTAAGACACCGGTCGCCTTCCGGACAGATATGTGTGATGACAGCCCCAATGCCTACACTACTCGCGTCAGTCGTTAGTACCAGAGGCAACTCAGTAGCATAGTGAGCTAGCACTTTGCTAGATACCAACAGATGCTTTACTTTATTAAATGCTTGTTCACATTCTGTATTCCAGTTATATCGGACATCTTTTTTAACAATCTATATAAAGGCTCTAGAATAGTACTTATATTTGGGACAAATTTGGCATAATACATTACTAACCCTAAAAAGGAACGTAATTCCATAATATTTGTAGGCAGAGGAGCCTTTGTAATTGCATCTACTTTTTCTGGGCATGTATGTACCCCTTGCTTACTAATCACAAAACCTAAGTATGTTACGTTATCCGCGTAAAACGTGCATTTCTCTTTCTTAATCCTCAAACCGTACTGCTGTAATCTCTGTAACACTTCATGTAATGTATTCAAATGCGTAGGCGTATCTACTCCAGTAACGATAATGTCATCTAAAAAGACGTCTACTCACGGCATGTCAGCAAAGAGCTGTTCAAATTTTCGTTGAAAGATACCCCGATTAAAGGCTAACCCATATATTAATCTGTTGTACATAAATAAACCTTTGTGTGTGTTTATCACTGTATATTTTTTGACGTTTTTTCGTGTAACTCAAATTCTGCGTATGCTTGTGATAAATCTAATTTTGTGAATTCTTTCCCCCGTGTAATTTTATTAGCAAGTCTTCTACCTTAGGCAAAGTATAGTGGTCCACTTATAAACACTTATTCAATGTAATTTTAAAATCTGCACATACTCTTATGGTGCCATCTTTTTTCATCACCGGTACAATAGGTGTAGCCCAGTCCGACGCGGTGACCGGCGTGATGATTCCATCTCGCACCATCTGAGCGAGCGCGTGCTCAACCGGCTCCCGCATCGCGTAAGCGAGCGGTCGAGCGCGCAGGAATATGGGCCGTACTTCTTCCCGCAGGCGAAATCCTACTTTCCCCCCGGTGAAACGTCCCAAGCCATGTTTGAATACTTCAGAGTACCTGGAACTGAATTCCCTTACATCAAAAACATTGTTCAAATTATTTATTTTAAGTACATTACATGTTGGTAACGGTATACCTAGTTCATTGAGCCAACATCTACCTAATAAATTAGTCTTTCCGCTTTTTATTACATACAAGTCTAATACTTTTCTTCTAGTTTTAAACTTTACGTTGACCTCCATCTTGCCCAAAGGTGTTACTGTTTCGCCTGTGTAGTATCGTAATTCTAAATCACTCGGCTTTAGTTTACTGAATGAACAAAGAAGTTTTTATAACAATCATAACTTATACATGAAATAGCACTGCCGGTGTCGATCTCCATGTTTAGGATGTACCTTCTCGCAATTTGGGACACATCCTTTTTAGATGTCCATCCTTGTTGCACACTCTACATACGTAAATTTTGAATTTGCACTTATGTTCTTCGTGAATGCCACCACATGCGTTACATTTGTGATCCGTGCTCATTGCGCTTGTCCGACTGATGTTCGCCCGGTATTTACCGCTATTCGCTCCGCCTATGCCGCTTGGACCACCACCGCTGCTGCCAACTGGGAAGCGTTATGTTCCCACGGCTCTTGAACACGTCTTTTTTGTTCCGTTTCAAGAAATTGACTGTAATGTTAACATTTGGTATGCTGTCACCCGCATTTCTGCCCCTGGTACAACCTTCTACCAATGCCGCATTTGTTTCAGCCGCTTTCATGGACAAAGCTATAGTAAAGGCTTTGTCAAACGATATGTTGTCCTTCTTGGTAAACAATTTCTGGCGAATTTCTTCATTACCTATGCCGCATATAAATTGATCACGGAGATTCTCTGCTAAGTCTCGAAACCCGCAGTTTTTGCTCTCTTCCCTATGTTGAATACGTTGGCGAAATTTAAACCTTTCTGCCAGTTGACTCGGTTTTGGGTTCAAATGATTTTTCATCAACTCCACCAACTCATTATAAGGTTTGTTAGACGGTTTTTCAGGTGTGCACAAATTAACCATTAGCTCATAAGCTTCACCACCTATCACTGTGATCAATGTCGGCACTTGGATCTCGGTCTTCACTTGGTTTACAATAAAATATTGTTCTAGTCGGTCAATATACGCCTCCCAGTTGTCCTTCTCAAGGTCAAAAGTTCCTATTTTGCCGATTGCCATTTTGTACACTAACTGATTGTGCTATGTATTTGTGGCGACTCATTTGCTACTGTGTAGCACCGCTCTTATCTTTTACACCCTTACTCTCATCGGTCTAGCATTACCCTATTATTGACAAATTTCTATAGCAACGAGTGACAATAAAAGATTATGTTTTTCTCAACACGGCTTGTTCTTTGTACTGCATCTTAATTATTCCCTCCTGCTGGCTCCCAAACTGGTGACCCCGACGTGATGTGATAAATATGCGCAACATCGGAGCCCACGTCGCTACGCTCTGCAGTTTCGCTCGGAAACAACAATTTCCGCGATAATCGAGGTTTGTTCCATTCTGCGACGCCGCCTAGGTACGCTTCCTTCTTTTTGTTTTTCCCTCCGTGCAGAGAAGTCTGCTAGGGAGACTAGAAAAGCCACCTGCGAGTGAGACTATGGTATAGCCTGCGAGGGAGATTGTACAGAACAGCCATGAAGCTATAATCACAACAACTGTAAACGCATCTACGATAATCTACATCGCTATTGGACTCGTATTTTGTCCATTCTATGTAGCGCTGAGCCGGCATTTTTTCGCATCGAGGCCGGCCATTTTTTTCTTTCTCTACCGGAGCTACGTCATCTTTGACGAGGAGGAAGTTGAAAAGCGCGCCACGCGCGGCAATCACCCGCAACATTGTGTCAGGTGACTAACAGCTCTCCACTGATACTTCGCGACGGATGCTGCGTTAACACTCGTTCAAGTGAAAGTTTAGTGCTATTTTACACTTAAGATAGTATCATTTTATGTTGTATTTAGACTTACTTTACTTTTCTACCAATTTTATTATTACGTTTGCTGCGCAATACTGAAATTGTTTCGTTTGTGTATTTACCGATTTGTTCCACTGCGTGTATGTGTAAAGCGTTTTTGCGATTTGACCGTTTCTGATTTTACCTTTAAACCATGGTGAGTCAAGGAGAATCTAACGTTTCAGAGGGCCACGTTGGCAACGAGGGTGATGCTACTGCACTAGTCGGTGGCAGTCCCATTTACGTAAACAGGGTCGCAATTAGGACCCCGCCTTTTAGCAAGGATCGGCCCGCATTGTGGTTTGCTAGCCTAGAGGCGCAGATCCACATTAACCAAATTACCGTCGAAATGACGAAGTTTCATTTCGCCGTGGCGCATTTAGATACCGAGTGTACGAAGGAGGTCGAAGATATTATCACACATCCTCCCGAGTTGCAACCATACACAACTTTAAAAAGCGCAATCATATCTAGATTCTCCGATTCCTTCGAGCAGAAGGTGCGGCGCTTACTAGAAAAGGAACAGTTAGGTGACCGCAAGCCATCTTCGTTCATGCGACACTTGAAGAGTCTGGCTGGCCAATCGTTCCCCGCTGACTTGCTGCGATCAATTTGGGCCAATAGGCTTCCCCGGCAGGTTCAAATTGTGTTGGCCGCACAGAAGATCCAGGACTTGACGGAGTTGGCGGAAATGGCCGACCAGTTGGTGGAGTTGACCGAGAGGCCTACCACCGTGAGCCAGGTTTCGGCGCATCATACCTTTGAGCCCACTCTCGCGTCAATGCAGCGGCAGATCGAGGAATTGACGCGAACAGTCTCAGCGCTCAGAACAAACACCCATGAACGATCTGGGAGCTCACGCGTTAATCAAAAGCGGAGCCGCTCTCGATCGCGCTCACGCCCACGTAATCAGACGCTTTGCTGGTACCACGATCGTTTCGGCAACAAAGCAAGCAAATGCATACCAGGATGCAGCTGCACCATTGAAGGAGCTACCAAACCTTTAAACTAAGGGAGCGGTCGGACGTGGCAATTACCGACCGCGCACAGTCCAGCAAACGCATTTTTATTACCGATCAAAATACCAAAATTAATTTTTTGATAGATACCGGTTCGGACATTTGTTGTTTTCCACGAAAACTTATAAAAGGACGTTTCTCAAATACAGGACTTACTCTCAATGCGGCAAATGGCAGCTCCATTAAAACTTACGGCACAGTTAATCTGAACCTCAATTTAGGACTGCGCCGTGAATTTCGCTGGGAGTTTATTTGTGCTGACGTGGATGTCCCAATTATCGGTTCGGATTTCCTAGCTTTCTTCCACCTCCTACCCGACTGCCGTAGCGGCACACTGCGCGATGAGCTTACAAACTTATCCGCATATTGTTGTAACCGCAATATAATGCAGCCAAGTATTAGGACCGTAAAAAAACCGTCTCGCGATTCCGTGTTCAATCAACTCTTTTTAGACTTTCCGGAAGTGACGCACCCACCTACAGCTGACCGTCAAATAAAACACAGCACTGTTCACTATATAACGACAACTAGTGGGCCGCCTGTCACGTCGCGTCCTTGTCGACTATCATCCAACAAGCTAAAAATTGCTGAGAAGGAATTTAATGACATGGTGCCGGCGGGTACTGCTCGCCCATCTAAAAGCCCCTGGTCGTCACCACCGCATTTATCACCCAAAAAGGATGGCATGTGGCGTCCTTGCGGTGACTACAGGCTCTTAAACGCTCGGACAGTTCCTGATCGGTACCCTGTGCGTCATATAGGAGACTTCAGTCATAATCTGGCTGGTTCTACTATATTTAGCACATTAGATCTAGTAAAGGCCTACCAGCAGATTCCGGTAACTGGTCCAGATGTTTGCAAAACGGCCATAATAACGCCATTTGGTCTTTTCGAGTTTCTCTATATGTCATTTGGGTTACGCAACGCTGGCCAAACCTTCCAGCATTTCATCGATGAGATCTTGCGCGGACTAGACTTCGCTTTTCCCTACATTGACGATATTTTGGTATTCTCACGGGATGCTGAAGAGCACGCCAAACACCTGCGCATAATCCTGCAAAGACTGGTGGACTATGGCGTCGTTGTCAATGTGGATAAGTGCGTATTGGGGACATGTGAGGTAATCTTCCTAGGTTATAAGATAACCAAGGATGGTATCTGCCCACCTGAAGAGAAGATCGCTGCTCTCCGCGAGTTATCGCTTCCCAAAACAGCTCAATGTTAGAGACGCTTCCTGGGGATGGTAAATTATTACCGCCAATTTCTTCCCAAAGCCGCCAAGCTCCAAGCTCCACTTGTGGATTTTTTAACAGTCAGCAACCTAAAAGGTTCAAAAGCTATGCCCTGGACAGCAGACTTGGAGCGTGCTTTCTACGAGTGTTCCAGGCATTGCTAAAGACTGCCGCTCCTGGGCACGCGAGTGTCTCGCCTGTCAGAGCAGCAAAGTAACGCGCCATGTCGTTTCACCGCTTGGCAACATTAGCACACCTTCAGGCAGATTCCGTCATGTTCACCTGGACATTATTGGACCGATGCCTTCTTCAAACGGATTCACTTATTGCCTAACAGCAGTAGACCGTTTCTCACGCTGACCCGAAGTTTGGCCCATGTCGTCGATAACCGCAGTAGAAGTCGCTGATCAATTCACCCATGGCTGGATCGCTCGCTTTGGTGTACCGATCACTGTCACAACGGACCAGGGACGTCAATTTGAGTCCCAACTTTTCAACAGACTGATGGATTTAGGAGCCACAAAACGCGTTCGTACTACGAGCTATCATCCCCAAGCTAATGGGATGATAGAGCGTTCCCACCGTCATTTAAAGGCCGCTTTAATGTGTCACAAGAGTTCTTGGTACCATGCCCTACCTTTCGTTCTTCTCGGAATCAGGGCGGCACTAAAAAATGACATCAAAACGTCAGCTGCAGAAGTTGGGGAACCGTTACGCCTACCAGGCGAGTTCCTGGTGGCTAGCAATTCCCCTCAGACCGTGGACGATGATTTTGTTGCACAGTTGCGAAAACGGATGGCAGAACTTCGCCCCGTTCCAGCATCATATCCGTCCCCTAACAACTTGGCACCGGAGCCCCCAGTCCTTCCGGCTCTTTCACCTCCTATTAGCCAAACGGCCGTGCCCATTAAAACGCCCGCACAGCCTGTAACAACCCGGTCAGGTCGCAAAGTGAAATTTAAAGATATTTTAGATTTATAAGTACTAGTTTTTAATACGTTATTTTTGTTAAAGCAGAGTTTTTTCAATTTTAAGTTTCCAATGTTTATTTTTTCGTTGTATAAATTAAAATTCCATTAGTTAATAATTATCCTAAATAATGTTGCTTGTACTTTTATAATAACAGTGTATAATTATTTGATTGTTACATTTTATACTTGTTTTGCCTTCAATGTGTACTTATTTTCTCCGTAGGGGGGTGATGTGGCGACTCATTTGCTACTGTGTAGCACCGCTCTTATCTTTTACACCCTTACTCTCATCGGTCTAGCATTACCCTATTATTGACAAATTTCTATAGCAACGAGTGACACTAAAAGATTATTTTTTTCTCAACACGGCTTGTTCTTTGTACTGCATCTTAATTATTCCCTCCTGCCGGCTCCCAAATATTTATTTCACGAACAATCCACCAACAATTAAACGCGTGAAATCTTTGAGTCCTCGTCGCCACTGAGAAATATGTAGTATACGCTTGAGATATGAAGTGCCTCGCGCAGTAAAACACACGTCCGTTCTTTACTCGCTTTATTTGGAGACTGCCGGTACAATAAAACTTATGTCTACATACGTTACACTGCCATTGCTCGTTGGCTAAGGATAGAGGGTTAAGTCCTTTATCACAACTAATGACGTTCGTATAGATTGACTCATCTGATCTCGCGAGAAAGTAGTTGCGGAGACTGCACACCTCGCTATTGTGCATGTTGAGGGCGTTTAAAAAGCCCCTCCCGCCATGCTTCCGCGGCAGCGGCAGGTACAGCCTCATCACTGACGATATCGGATGATGCATCCTGTGGGACGTCATAGTTGTGCGGTCTTTTCGGTCCAGGGCGTTGAGCTCAGTTTGAGTCCACCTGAGTATGCCAAAAGTATACATGAGGACTGGCAAACCCAGCCGTTAAATGTGCGCGCCTTGTTCACCCCTGACAAATGGCTGTTAAAACACCTTGGTCAGTCATGCAAAAAAGTCACAAACTGACTGTTTCATGCCAGCCTCATCGATACACATGTTTTGTGATATACCCAGGTATCGGTATGTTTCAGCCTCAGAGAGGGTCCTTATGTTAACGGGCATAGATAAATCTATGCCCTACGTGTTAGCGACCTTACCCCTTTCGACATGGAGGACCGCACACTTATCCGTCCCAAGCTCCATTTTGATAGAATTGCTGAAATCGCAAGTGATTTTAAGCAATTCCATCAAATGAGAACGATTGGACGCGAATAATTTGAGGTCATCCATGTAGAAAAGGTGGGTCACTTTTGTCCCTCCTCTCCGAAGCTGAAATCCTCCCCCCGAGCCCTCCAGTAACACGCTGAGAGGATTCAGAGAGTGGCAAAACCATATTTGGACTCAAACAGTCGCCCTGGAAAATACTCCATCGTATCCTTATTATTATTTATTATTATTATGTGTGTAAGCCACAAATTACTATTAAATTTTTTATGGTACGTGTGATTGTATCGTTTCGATAGACATCGTATAATGAAAAATACTATATAGTTTTTGTCTATGAATATAACATGAATTTGGCAAAAGGACTAGTATTTAAAGTAATTGCTACATTATTGCATGTACAACATGCAAATGCGAACAACATAATTCGGCTTACGCATTCGTGTTTCTCTCTGATTGGTGGATTTATCAAGGATGTAAATAATCCAGTAGTGACGGAAATATTCAACAATCGAGAAAATGCCAAAATCGATTTTACTGTCTATAAAGTATCCTTTTTTTATAGATTGTTAAATAAATATGAGTATATATGATAATATATACATATTAAATTCAAAGACGTATAGTGTAAAGACTCCTTAATTTATCTCTTCAATATATGTTTTCATAAAAATTGGCCTTAATTTTATTTATTATTAAAGAGACTTTATTTAATTCAACATCGATATTTATTATGATAATGGCAATCTTTTCTGGCTGCGGAGTGCGGAGGTCGATAAATTAAATTCTCTACATTGCTACAAGTACTCTATCTATATATTGGTGTTATAAAAACGTACGTTGTACATCTGTTTGTAATTTTGTTTCCATTGCATCAGATAACGATTATTAGTAATCTTGTGGTGAATTCCCTGTGTTACAAATAACTTTTAATAGAATTGTGTCGAATTAATTGTAAACCAAAAAATCGTAACAATGGCTCCGAATATTCAAACATTTATAAATAGTTTTCAAAATCGGCTGTGAGTATATATCATAATATGTTTTGTCTGTATTTTGTTTATTTTGTCTCAGATATTTCGATCAATATGTTCTAAATGTAATATTCATGGATTTATTCTTAGTTTTCTAGCTATGTAATGCAATTGACCTTTGTTACTGCACTGTCAGAGTTTCTGGAATATTCTAGAAAGAATTATATTTGACATGCTATCACTTCCAATTTTCAAAACTTTATATTTCTGTTTAAGAAAAATAAAGTAATAATGAATTGAGATTAGTGGAGGTAATATTAGAAAATATTTATGTATTTTATTATGTATATTTGAGTTATATTTTGACATTATTATGACCTGGCAGAATTCAGAAGTATGTTATCTAGAATGTACTGAACTAAAATATGTTCTGATGTTATCTTGAAAATAACTTTATGAAAATTTATTTCCTCATAGATTTTTGTCAAGTTTTCTATGCCTATTCAATTATTGTTATTTATTACTTTTTGGTCAGTTAGGTCAGGTTTTTAAATAGCATGATAGAAATAGCAAACATTTTAATTATTGCATGTCGTAATAATCTAGAAGGATTCATATAGGACAAACATGCATGACCATATTGTAAACAATTACCATAGTTTATTCAGCAACGTAAGGTTTGTATATATGTATATCTGAAAATGAGAACCATTTTATCTGTTTGTCACAAATCTGTCCCTAAAAATTATATGATATACAAATAAGAGGTAGAAATGACACTAGGGCACTAAAACTGAGGAACGTCACTCCCTTGACTGATATGATATTGACAGAATTCTTCTAAGAGAAGCCATTTGTCAAAGAAACAAGTCAAATTACGCCAATTGGTGTAATTAGAGTTCAATCTTTTTCTATATCATATGTCACATTCAGTTACATATGTCATTCAGTGTAAAGGGATATAATTTTTAAACTCCCCGCACTTTGCATATGTCTCATCTTTATTAAAACATCATTGGTCCCTAAGCATATTCTGATATTTAAACATCTATGTACATCTGTAAAATAAAGCATTAATATTACATTATTTGGTACGACTGTCCATTGATGTCCATCGAATTGAGGGGCGGGAGAAGGGGTATTACCTCCCTTAAAGGGAAAAGTTACGGAGGATTTTTGCGTTTTTTAAATAAAAGGAAATTTTTGTAAAATTTGCAATGACCTGATGTTAAGTGAATAACGCCACCCATAGACATCTGCTTCACCCGAGGATTGCGGATGCGTTGACAACCTTTTGAAAATTGGGTAAAGAAAAATCCCTAATGAAATAATCAACAAGCAGAATTCTCCGGTCGCTTTTAGTTTTCAAGAAAAAAATATTTAAAACTCGTTATATACACTAAAGAAATCCGCCATAATCTGCCACATTAAAAAAGTTAAATATAAAATTCTTAATTTACTATTGCATTGACGTTCTGGGTGGTCATTAAAAAAATAATCATGAAGGCTAAGGCTCTTTAGCCACTGCAATATAACCCTTATTGACAGCTGAATAGACTACACCGATTTGTCACCTGATCGGTGATTAATTGCGTCAAGCGCCTACGTCATGGCTGATTAAAAGTATATTTTCTACCAAATAACGGCAGCTTAAGCGAAATAAAAAATACGTATATAAAGCTGAAACTATAAGGAATCAAAATATGTGTAAATTAAAGTACAACTATTAATAGTAAGTAAAATTATATTGGTTAAATTTCACGTAAATATTTTTTTAAACAAGTTTTTACAAATAAAATTGTATCAAATCTCATTTGATATTTATTCTTTACTAAACTAGACAATATAAGCTTTAATTTGATACCAAAAGTGTAAACATTCATTGTGTAAACTTTATACAATAAACATAAACATAGACCCTATTCCACTTGAAATCCGACACTCGATTGTTTTTCAATGCGACGGCAAGATGGCCACCCATAAGGCCATAAACACAGGGTTATTCATCTATTTTTTTATTATTTAGTTAGAAATATTTTGTTTCATAAATAGGTACATGACATTCTTATATTTCTAAATAACATATATATTAACATGTATAACACATATTTATTTATAAAATATATTTTTATTAAATTTCGGTATATAATATACATATTTAGTTATGACACATTTTTATATTTGAAATGAGCATTTATTGCAGATATGTATTTATGATATTGTAATAAAATACAAAAAAGCACAGTAACAGTATGTGAGCTATATCTCAGTTAATATTATTTATTTTACGGCTGGTGATATGCCTTAAAACAGCCCTCAACGCAAAGATTAATGTCGCGCTCCTGGCATTCCCAAATTTTTCATTATTGTTCCAGTATTTTTTGAAAACATCAAACAGGAAGGGGTTACTTTCAACATCGGTGTGGCCTGCTTCTTCCTTGAAATCCAAAAGCCTTAACGACTTACATATTTCTTTGAATAAACTGAAATATTAAGCGTAGTTACGATTAGTACGTAAAATGAAAAAGATAATTAAGCTTGTTCATCTTACACTCTCACATGTCCATGTCTTCGCAATATCATTCTCACGTCTTGATAACTTGCAGTAAATATTAGTATTATTACGATTAGGAGGATGACGTCTTAAAAATCAAAGATCCGTCTTGACAGCTTGGAATGACGTATGTGATTTTATTTTTAAACATTAGTGCATGGTGAAAGAAGGTTCGTATTAGACTTCAGACCTAGAAAAAGATAAAACAAAAATACCCTATAATAAAATAAATAAAACGAATGTACCACACCAAATAAAAAAACGCGATAATACGAAAATACCCTCATGTTCACAGTTTGTATGTAACCTTATTTTGATACTTTTTCGTGACGTTCGTGTGACGTCATCAGCCCATACAATAAACCTGCGGAAGACAATTTTAAAAACGTAAAATAATAAGTGTTTGCGTAACAATCCTTTCGTTTTTAGTGTTTTTAAATGTTAATAATGAACTGTTTTTACAATTACTAGGAATATTTTACTACAATATATAATATATAAGACAATTTTAATTATGAAAACCGGCACAATGAGGGTAGATTTTTAAGTGTTCATTTTATCACCCGAAATAATATTCTTTTAGACTTTTGATTCATATAATTTGATGAAATCATGATGAAATCATGAGGATTATTTCAATGTATAATACTAATACACTGCGTTTATAAATAAATCAATACTTACATTGTAAATGCGGACCCCACAACCACTTGAAATAACTTGAACAGTTTTTGTAAACAATTTTTTTTTGAGGGTAGCTGTCGCCGTTTATTGTGTTCTACCCACCAAAAGACGCGTTATTTAATCAGGAACCATCTTTTTTAGCGATACCTTCCAACCTAATCTATCCAAGTCGGATTGCTCTGTATTGGATCTGTGAGACCCATTAAATTTTACAAAAAATTTTAATAAATTGTTTTACAATTGATATGAGCATGAGCTTCCTATTTATCTTGTTGGCAGTATTGTGTATTGAGTTTTTGAAGTTAAATTACAAAAATGGAGGACTTTCTTAGTGATAATAAAGTTTTAAATATTTTTTTCTCAAAAACTACACATTTCCGCATGTTGAAACTTTATATGTGTCCTTATAATAATGGATGTCAATGGAGACCTGAGCCCATTCGTCCCTTATTGGTTTTGCATAACATAAATTAATCCGTAAACTGTATAAAATAGAATACATATTTCTGCATTACATAAATAATAAAACAGTCAAATGACAGTCTAAGGAAGATAAGTATAGATAAATAAAGAAGATTCTGCCTAGGAATATATTTCAAGTTGTTACTATTTGGTAAGAAGTGGAATACAGGGAAAATAATTGAGTGAACAGATTTTATTTAAAAGCACTTGTTTGTTAAGTTTGTGTTAACTTGTCACTTCTTCAGGCATTATATATATGTTATTTATTATTACTTATTCAACAGGGAACCACCAGTTCGACAGCACCTTAAAAATGTCTATGGAACACTTATGATGACATGTGCATCTGCATCAACTGGAGTGCTTGTAGATATGTACACAAGTTTTCAGGCTGGGTTTTTGTCAACTATTATTGGAGCTGGTTTGATGTTAATGTTGATTGCTACGCCAGACAATGGTAAAAATACAAAATTACGCCTGGGATATTTATTAGGATTTGGGTTATCGTCAGGTAAGTACACTCCAGCAAGCAAAATATTCATCCAGTTGACTGTAGTGAATAAAATATTAACTAATTACATCTTTTTCAGGAATGGGGTTGGGTCCACTACTGCAATATGTCAGTGTTCTGGAACCTTCAATCATTGTAACTGCTTTATTAGGAACTACATTGGTATTTGTTTGCTTTTCTGTTGCGGCAATGCTGGCTGAGCGGGGTAGTTGGTTATTTTTGGGTGGAACATTAATGACATTACTTACATCAATGTCTCTTATGACTCTAGCTAACATTTTCATGCAATCTCACTTCTTATATCAAGTAAGTAAAAAAAGAATATCTCTCACAAAACAAGATAATCTTAAAATGCCTTAAATTACAAATCCATATCACCTACTGTTGAAGATATGAATCAAGGAGATAAACATTATATTATGACAAAAGATGAATACAAAATAATATTCAAGACTGAAGAGCACTGGCTTAAAATTTTATTTAAGTTCTTGTATATATTTTATTAATTTTACATCCCTATCATTTTCAAAATGTGTTATCATAAGTTTTACTTCATTGTGTGGTTATATTTCAGGCTCACTTGTATCTTGGTTTAATGTTGATGTGTGGTTTTGTATTATTTGATACACAACTAATTATTGAAAAGCGTCGTATGGGTAACAAGGACTTTGTACAGCATGCTCTTGAGTTGTTCATTGACTTTATTGGATTATTCAGGAGACTACTCATTATCTTAACACAAAAGGTAATTCTTTGTAATGTACTTTTCCTTTATCCATCAGTACATTTTTAAATAATGATTGTAGTAAATTTGAATTTTTAATTTTAAATTTATTTTCTTCATCATTGTTGCCACATGACTTTTTTTTAATCTGAAATCCATCTTATTAGATAAACTAACTTACCCCAGTGGCATTAACTTTATTTTGTAATAGTTCTCATATAATTATACTGGTTTAAAACTTACAAGTCAGTTGTTTTTTTCCAGGAAGAACAAAATAGACGCCGTAAACGTGATTAAGATATCTGTATTAACATTTTTAATACCAACAAAAAGAAACAAACTATATAATGTGTTTGGGGAATACTTTGTATTTTGGTGTTCATTTATTTCTTTACTTAGCTGCCTTTATTAAAATTATTGTTTAAATAAAATATAATAAAATGTAATTTATTACCTCAATTTTCTTTTACTCATTTTATGATATTTTCACTTTTGATGACTCCGTGGCAGAGTTACCTCTTTGGTGCAGGGGATCGTGGGTTTAATTCTCACACAGGAAAAGTGTTACTTACAAATAACTGATCTGGATGTTGGTAAATAGGCTACTTGACTCACCAAATTTGACCCTACAAATGAGTATTTCATGCAGTATTAGATATACAAACCCGAAATATATTGATTTCGTTTAATAAAAAGTGCAAGATGACTGCACAATTTCTATTCAAAATTGCTACATTATTTTTTGTTCTAAACGCTGAAAACGCTTGCGGCCAAGGCCATCATGTGCACTAGAGATGTGTAAGTAATGCCGATAATATCACTCGAGTAATATTACTTGTATGCAATGTCATACTGCATTACTCATTACCTACGCGAGTATGGCGAGCATTGAGCATCACTTTTTGGGATGCATTACCATAGAGAATGTAATCACTACGTTTACTTCGCGTTTGTGCATTACTTCGCGTTACGCGATCGCCGAATACGAAAAAGATGTCATGCGTGTGCGAGCGAGATGATCGCGCGCTTCGGGTGACGGGACGGGCGGCATCACATTGCGCGCCTTCGCTCTAGGCGGATAATATTTTACATTACTTTCAATCGCAATAAAAAATCGCGACCTTAATGCGATATAAATAAGATTTTTTTTACGACGTTACGTACAAAATGTGTGCATTCCCGGCGCAAATATGAATGTCATGCGACATGCTGTAATACAAAAACAAGCTAATATTGTATGCTATTAAAGTTGAAATTATTTTTGACGATATTTTCAAATTATATGTATCTACAAGAACAAAGCCAGACATAAGTCAAGCTGTAAATGAAGCAAGCAGAAAAACAGAAAACCCTATGAAAGATGATGTCATAGCTGCAAAGAAAATACTAAAATATTTTGGTTGGAGGGTTTGCAGATGCGTTGACAACCTTTTTGGAAAATTGGGCTCCGGCCACCTCACTCACCAGACGAAACGCGAAAGTATTTAAATTATACTTCCACTTTACGCCGGTCTTCTGTGAGGTCGTGGTACTTACCCGAATGAGCCTGCCCATTCGTGCAACAGCCGAGGCTGCTGCGTGGCTCTACCACCGTGAATAAATAATATTAATAAAAGGTTTGTTTCCCTCATCTGAGCACTCCTATACCCTTCAACAACCACATCAACGCTTGCAGTTGTTACCAAATATAATATTTGGTAACAACTCTGAAAGATATTTTGAAGTAAAATCAAAATTTTTAACTTACTTTTTAAATATTTCAAATGGGTAAAGAGGGTAAAAAACCTACATGCCATAATCCTATAAGGTGATGAGATCACATTTTTGAAAACCTAGAAATCCTCATGAGCGCTGCACTCCATCAGGCGATAGAGCGAAACCGATGGAGACAGCTCGTTGGCCAATTTAATATCAGTCACGATCGTCAGGAGTGAGAGAACGTCCAAGAAGATGTCACTGCCTGAAAGAATGTCCATTTCATTAATTAAACTGTACTGTCTCCAACGATACAACCAATGATGGCATATTTTTGGCATTTTTTGGAGTTGAGTTTGGCAGATTTTGTATCGGGCAGATTCGCCAATTTTGAGATGGTCGCCCTGGCTGGCAAGCGCTATCCTCGTCTGACTTGTGACGTTATGCGCTAGCTCTCTATTACTCACATATTTATTATTTGTGGCCATATTTAATTAGGCAACGGTATATCATAATAAACAGAAAAAAATACTTCAATTTGATACATAAATGTACGTATGTATCAAAGTCATACCTGTTTACACCTGACTGCGAAGAGAGGTGCGCAACAGCTACCGAGATTTTTCAGTCTTTATGTATATTGCACTGAAGTGGACGATATTTTAATTAAAAAACAAGTGAATGAAATTTTTTCAATTAACAATAATTTAATTAAAAATATTAGCGGCCATATTTTGATAAGCAACCCTTTATATATATATTCTCTTAATCATAAATATGCGTAAAAATGGATTTTAGCAAATACTCGATGAGTGCAGTAACTCTGCAGCCGGATCTCGTACTACAAGTGATTGTTAATAAATAGCACCACAAACAACGCACACTGAAAGTAATCAGGTATTTAGATTATGCAAATCAATCAATAATACATGGACAAGCTGCGGAGTCTTAATGCATTAATAGAGGCCCGTTTTACCGTTTGGGTACGGAACCCTAAAAACAGAATAAGAATATATTTAAGCGGGGCTCCCATACAACAGATATGATTTTTGCCACTTTTTAAGATTCCGTACTCAAAGGGTAAAATGGGACCCTATTACTCAGACTCCGCTGTCTGTCACCCGTGATAGTTAGACAGTAGAATTTTTTACAGACGATGTATTTCTGTTACAAGTATATATATTTTTTATGAGAAAATTTGAACCCATTTGCAGGTGCGTTGACCTTTTTGAAAATTGGGCTCCGAATACCTCACTCGTCAGACGAAACGCGAAAGTATTATACTTCCACTTCACGCTCGTCTTCTGTGAGATCGTGGTACTTACCTGGTGTCGTGGTACTTACCCGGACGAGCCTGCCCATTTGTGCTACAGCCGAAGCTGCTGCGTCGCCCTACCACTGTCGATATTAAAAAACAGAATAAAAAAATATTTAAGTGGGACTCCCATACAACTGACATATTTTTTTTTAAATCAGATGATAACTAGATTTTCCTGTACACGTACCATACGGGTTGCAAGATCATGTACATTAAGAAACGAGAATGAGTCTTCACACTGCGAGATAAAATTGGTTTTGGAATTCTAACGTGTTTAATTTGTTATCCCAAAATCGTTTTGAAGACCAGTTACAGTTTTCGCGTTGTACAAGAAATCACAAGATTCACTGAGTATACCTACTAGTGTCCGACCGAAACTGGTTTTTACGACAGAAACCGAAACCGAATGTCGGCAACAGTCTCAGTTTCGGCCGAAACCGAAACTTCCTTGAAAGGATCATGTCAAAGATTGAAACCTTCATTGAACCTTGTTCAAAATTCAAATAGATTTTATAGTGCAAATATTACTATTAATATAATTATAATGCTATTAATATAACACACACTGAAAGTAGTTAACTGTATATTTTGGTCTTTATAGTTGTAATGATTGTAAGTTTATATAAAGTTAAAAACCGGCCAAGTGCGAGTCGCACTCGCGTGCGAAGGGATCCGTACGTTTTATTATTTGTTGTTATAGCGACAACAGAAATACATCATCTGTAAAAATTACAACTGTCTAACTATTACGGTTCATGAGATACAGCCTGGTGACAGACAGACAGACAGCTGTCTTTTTGTTTGAACTCGATAATCTCAGGGACTACTGATCATATTTGAAAAATTCACGCACTGTTAGATAGCCCATTAATTGAGGAAGGCGATATAAATTGTAGTAAATGCGGGCAGAGCTGCGGGTGAAAAGCTAGTCCATAAAACATTTGCATATGTTTACGATGTGAGGAATTTATTTAATAATTCCGTTTATACTAATTGATCCCACCACAACTAATTCTGCATGTGTATTAACTAATTTTGTAGTATCTAACCTCTGCAGTTATCTGTCTGCTAATTATTTAACAGGCAGATGATTGCGGCAATAAGTAGGCTGTGCAAGAACACTATTTATATATTCATTAATATTCATCACTGGAATGGAAAGCTACAATAACGATTGAGGCAACATAAATATTTTGACTATCTGTTGGAAAAGTGCGCGCGCAACTTAATCGTCCATCGCCTTCGGCAAAAATACTCTATTTTAATTCTGATAGTAGGAAAGGGAAATATTTAGAAGTTTGCTCAAATGGATAAATTATGTACTTATGGTGAGGCACGGGGCTCTCAAAGAAGAGTAAATGGATTACAGCTACCTCTGAACTACCTGCAAATCAGTTCTTGGATCTTTTTCTTTATTACTGCCGTGCTTAATTTTGTTGTTGTGGTACAAATACAGTTTCATGAATTAAAAGTGATATCTTCTGTATTATATACTGTTTTGTACGTAACTCATTTTATTTCGCATGTAACTGCACTACTGCTTGATCCCGCTGAAAAGGCACTAAGAAAACTTAAAAAAAAGTATGTGCCGGAGTTCGACCGTTCAGTTCACGCCCATGTGATTGAAAATGGAAGATGTCATCTTTGCAATATTTTCACCAGCAATAAGAAAACGAAACATTGCAGCATTTGCAACAAATGCGTTTATTATTTTGACCATCATTGCAAATGGCTGAATAACTGCATAGGCCAGAGAAATTACGCAGTTTTTATTGTTTGCGTTGTGACGGCAACTTTAACAGCTTTGCTAACTGCTTGTTTGTGTGTAACCGACGTTACGCTTTATTTTACTAATCCGCAATTGTTAAGTAACGACGCACAAAGTTTTGTCAACTGTACTAAATCGAACAATTCAGAAAACAATGTAAAATATTGCAAAAATTCCATTGTATTTCTTGCTCTACTATTTATTCTGTTTGTATTTGCGGTGGCTATAGGATGTGCTTTGATTCACTTACTATGTTTTCATATTTACATATCGATTCTCGGTGTTTCTACCTATGAATACATTACGGCAACTGGACATTTGGAACCATGTCGAATAAGATGTAGTAAAACACCAGTGAAGAAAAAATTGTACATAGCAAGCAATGATACATATACTAACTCATTAAATAATAATGATATATCAAAGAAGTCTTATGCCTGGCGGAAAAAGATGAATGAACTGAATATTTTAAAAACACAAAATAATAAAAGTGTAGCCACTTTGGTACACATTATTATACACGAAGAAATAAAGAAAGCTAAAAAATTACTTCATGACAAAAACAAAATACATCCGCAAGGAGAAACCTAAATAATTTGAAGCGTTTTGTGACTATTTACTAATTAAGTAAGTGTTAGACAGTTAGTTTTAAAAGTAAAGTTATAATATACTCAATATAAAATTCATATTTTTAAAGTAAATTCAAAATAGCTCATCTAAAGCTCTAGTAGTAAGTAGTAGTCTTGTCGTGTTATACGCCTATAAAAGTTAGTGACTCTCTTTGTATACTTTTGTTTTTTATATTCTTATATGAGGCTCCTCCGCCATTTTCTTTATTTGTCTTAACCCTTAATCTAATACCGCAAACCGAATAATGTATGAGAGATAATCAGTGTCCTTTTGTTTAGATATTTAAGTGATGAAATGTATTAAAAATGGAATATCTATCGCAAGACGATTTTTTTATTTAATATAACTCAGTAATTTTGAAATATTATTTACTTATTTTACACTACTAAATCTCACATTGCCTAGCCTGTTTAGTAGGCTAGGCAATGTGATATCAAGATCAAGTCATAACATATGACGCCAACTTTAAAGGTTAAATTTATCTATTTTCTTAAGGTTCGTCAGCGTCACAAGCAAATTAATTAAAAAAGTAAAACAAAAAACAAATATTCCAACAATTACAGATGAACAAAGTTTACTTAACATAAACTTATACCCTAATTAAATAAATTTCTATATATATAAAACATAACTAAACATTTTAATAACAGTAATAACTCAGTGTTATTTTGAGCGAGATTAGATTTAAATGCTGGCACAAGAAATAAATTTTTCTCTGGGTTACTTTTGGAAGCGTTACATTCTACGCCCTTCGGTTATACAATTTATAAAAAGATTACATCCAAAAGCTTACATCTACTGGCCAAAAGACGAATGCTATAATATTTTAGACCGTCCTTATATCTAGGAAGCGTAGGTGAATAAACTAAATGATTTCCAAATGACAAAATAGTATCTAATTGGTTTGACATTCAATTATTCAGTATGTATGTGTTATCATTTAAATAATCTTTAATATTATAATAGCCTTTAAAACACAAACATTCTTTTACAATATTTTTAAATTTAGCAATTGATATATTTTGAACGTAGAACGTAGAGTAGAACATGTAGAAACGAATACATTGTCCTTTTAAAGATTTACTTATTCTACGCAGTCTAGTTGTGGGTAGGATTAATTTATATTTTTTCCTAGTATTTATATCATGCACATTACTATGTCTTGAAATTTTATCCTTATTTTTATGGACATACATAAACATGAGCTTTGTGGAACTCCAGAAGGAGCTGGATGCGGTCCAGAATTATATCCGTTAATAACTACTATTGAGCTTCTTTTGCTAAGATAAGACTTTAATTAAGCAGTGACCCTATATATAGTTTGGGATAATTTCTGTATTAATATGATAATCGAATTTATAAAAGGCTTTATCTTCTCTACAGTCTTCTAACAGTCGAGGCTGCTGCGTGGCCATACTACCGTACAAGTTACCGTAAATGCATGTAGTACCACGACCTCACAGAAGACCGGCGTTAAGTAGAACATTTCTGCATTTCGTCTTGTGAGTGAGGTAGCTGGGCCCACTTTATTAAAAGGTAGCATTGCATCTTCAACCCTACGAGTATTGCAAATGTCCATGGGCGGCGGTTATTATTTATCATCAGTTGAACGCCACAGCTCGAATGCCAATTTGTCACATAAAAAAAAGGAAAGGAATTTAGCCTCCGAATTTTTAAGTTGTCAATAAATTTTTAAAACTAAAAATTATCATACACATAAAATATTCCGAATATTTCGTCTTTGGTCAATAATTTTATGAATTTCTTCATTTTTTAATGAAGTACCCTTGAAATTACATCATGAAGATCGAAAGACCGCTGACCAGATAATGGTTCCGCTTTAATTACGGGACATTCGGAGTTACACGTAAAAGTGAGATAAATTATGGCATTATACAAACATTTTACAAACATTTTAAAATGATGTTGAACAGGAATTACCACTAAAATGTGATTGAAGAATTGTAAGAAGTACTAAGTCAATCACTAAGCTGTTTGGATAGTTAAATAATTTTAACAATTAACAATATACTAACATTTTTAAACTTGTGATATATTTCGAATGGAATGTCCGAATATGATAATTCAAAAAGTTATATAAAGATATTGAAACAGTCTTAAATAAGAAGAGAGAATAATTTATTTTTATAAGAATTAATACCAAGATACAAATAAAGAGCCTTTTCTAGCGGCGGCATTTCAATCAAAATTTTAAAAATAAAAGAACACTTATTGTGGCATAACTATAATAGTTAGACATATGCTGTCGCGACATTTTTTGTAAATAATAATGTGTTCTGCAAAGTCGTAGTAAATTATTTTATTCTTTCATGAAAATATAATATAGCCTATATCAAGCAGGGATAATGTAGCTTCTCAACAGTGAAAGAATTTTTTAAATCGGTTCAGTAGTTTCGGAGCCTATTCAATACATACAAACAATCAAATCTTTCCTCTTTATATAATAGTAAAGAGTATAGATAATTAACAGAAAATTAAAAATAACTATTTAATAAATTATAATTATAACAAAATATATAGAACCCTTAATACTAAATACAGTCATGTGCATTGTTTTCATTTTCAATTGTTTTCGTTTTTTCTTTCTTGTGTACCCTTATGTTATGACCTATGCAAAAGCAGTCTTCTTCAAAACATTTGTTTCGGCAACACTTTTTACACAGCTTATACGCGCATTTAGCTCCCTGAAACGGAATTTATTCGCTTATGTCTTTATTTTGTTCATTATTGAAAAACATAGCCAATGAAAAGAAATTAAAAGTTTTAATCTGAGAACACTTTTGATAAAGACCTTAATCTATTTATGAATATCTTTATAAATCCAGCATGTGATAAAAGTTATAAATACTTATACTAGACAATACTATAATGTAATACTCACTAAAGGGTTAGGGCATACAATGTTCATACATATTTCTCTTGTTCCATCAGCTTTTTCATCTGGCTTTGTTGGTCTTCTCATATAACGTCTTAACTTTTTCATTTTCTTCCTTGATAAAACATTTCCATCAGGTTCATTGAGGATTCTCTTATCATTATTACACTGAAATAGTGATATAAATTGCAATTTCCTTATGTTACTTATGTCCTGTACCATGACCATTTACTTCTTCTGATATAAAAATATGAATCTTTATTTTTATAGATGTAAAGTAAATAATAAAAAAAAGAAATTTAAATTGTGTACATAAATAGCCGAAAAAAGTTTTCGCCAAAAACAAAGTAGTTCTATTCTAGACGTCCTGATTTTTTCGCAATGAATATATCGACTGCCTAGCTTAGTGGCTAGAGGGTATGAAGCATAATCTGGAAGGCCATGTTTCGAATGCTGGCAGTGGTGAAAACTTTATTAGCAATTTATGTGTACAATTTAAATTTCTTTTTGTTTTTTTTACGTATCTTATTTTATTTTGGTTCAATATTTATTTCATTTATTTTATTATTATTTTTCAAGTATTTTTAATGACCAATCATTACCTGTTGTTTACTCAACAATTCCATTTTTTGAGTGTGTTCTTCTGGTGAAATCCTAACATATGGTTGACATATCCATGGTGGTAAAATTAGATCATATCCTTGTCTGGTTATAGCATCGTCATCCAAAAAATTTATTGTGCCTTCATGGAATACTGAGTATTTATCTCTTATTTTTATGCATACTTGTCTGAAGTCATCTAGATTTTGTGCTGTAGCTAGGAGCTCCCTTTCTTTTGTATTAGTTTCAAAGGTAAATCTAAAACATTTTAAAGTAACAATTTTTTATGAATGTTACATAAGTAAGCACAAGAATTTGATGAGGATAAACAAAATTTATTGTGTTTGTTGTTATTAGTGGTTGGTTATCTGCCTTCAAATTGGGCCACCCTTCTTTGAATTATGGACATCTTTTACCTTTAAACAAGCAATTCTTGTATATAGGAAAGGGCTCCAGCATTTTTCATCAAATTTCGGAAGCGAAAACTCGATCTGTTCTCATTCTGGTTTCATTTTTAGAAAATGTCGTTTTATGCGGGAATAATGTCGTTTTATCCGGGAGTAATGTCTTTTTATCCGGGAATGATGAAAATATGTCGGGAATGAAAAATATCATTCCAATACGACGGTAAATTACACCAAAAAAAATGTTATAATAGCTCGGTCGGTAATCGGTCAGCCACGAAATAAAAGGCCGTGGTTCGTATCACGATCATTTACACATTTACTTTTTTACTTTTTTTTCGATTCCAGATCATTGCTTTCTTTATTTTTTGTCGATCCAGATGATTTTGTTATTTTTTCCCTTTTTTTTAAAGTTCTTTCTTTTGTGAAAAACACTAGTTCATATTTTCTTATTATTACGTCGGTAAAATCGAAAAATATTATGCATATTTCATTACTCAGTAATTTGTAAAGAAATGTAATTTCCAAAATACACAATTTATAAAAAAAAAAAACAAACTGAGCAAAGCTCGGTCCTCCAGGTACTACCAATTTATACGAGATTAGTTTAATATATTCCAAAATAAAAAGTAATTAATAAATATACTATAAATGTATAATTCTAGAACATTCATCTCTGAAACTCATCAATTTTATTTTATTTTTAAACAATACTGTATACTTAGTTATGAGTACTTATAGATGCATCTGTAAGCTCTCATCACTGAATAATGCTCCAATACTATTTATTTATTATTATTATTTAGTTGCAATAATTTTTTTGAGAAAAACATATGTCTGTTTAAAAAAACATATACAAATTGTCTCAAGGATTAAAACTGATACACACTTACATTTTATGGAATATTTTAAACAAATGGCCTCTTATGAAAGATGATGGGCAAGGATACTTTTCAACAAGAAGAAGATATTCGCTAGCAATTTCCCAGGTTACTGGATTAATCCCCTCAAAAAGTGCAGGATTTGTTAAGATACCTTCTGCACTCATAACACCATCTACTTCAGTGTATTTTAGACATCTATACACATCTTCTAAGCATTGTATGTTGCCATTTGCAAACATAGGTATTGATACAGCACTCCTGAAATCATAGTTATACTATTAGACATCTGTTTCTATGAAAAATATTATTTTGTGTATTGGAACTGCAGTACAGTATAATAAATTTTTTACATTAATAATATTTTAAGACATGAGACATTAGTAAACATTATATTTTATAGATATTAAGAAATATTACATTTAATTATATAAGACAACCATATAGAAGACCTTATTCTATTGATTGGAAGATATTAACATAATTAAATGTCTCATCATCAATTTCCTGCCCTTATTCCACCTAAGTGGGTTCAGTACAACATGTGAATTTAACTATCTATTTTAAGACCATACATGGGCCTAACGTTAACCCTTCTTGGGAAACAAACACCCAGATCCGGAACAATTATCTGTGGGTCACACAAATACTCCTCCCACGTGGGATTTAAATACATAACCCTGTTACCGAAGCCAATAGCTTAGGTGCCACCGAGTCATCTAAAAATGTCTGATTATGTTAAAATAATAAATTCCGCAGTGAGGTCACACAGTGGACTATGCACTGATACCCTCTGGATAAAGGAGGCCTTTGCCCAGCATTGGGACATGTATAGACTGATACTTTTCCTTTTTTTATTTATAATCATTATGTTAGTATTAGTACTTAATTAAACAAACCTAACTGATTTTATGTGTTTCCAACTGGCAACACCGGTAAGAGGCCCTTTTTGTTCTCTTGTTCTTCCATGGACAGTCAAAAGCTTACATCCAGCACTTTGTAACATTAAGGCATATTCTATTGACTTGTCAATATTATCAAAAACCCTTACTTTACAGGTAATAGGTATGGCAACAGCTTCTGACATCGCAGCAACTGTAATTTGTGAAAACAGAATTTTAAAAATATTTACTTAATAAAAATGTTACAATTTATGTATTATGTGAAACATTACTAATTCTTTTTAAAAGAGTCCAATCATCTTGTAAAAATGCTCCATATCTACCACGCTTTGCTATAGACTGGGGACATCCAAGATTAACATCGATGGCATCGCAATCTTTTTCGACAAGTTTTGCTGCAGCAGCCATTATATCCGGTTCATTGCCACAAAACTATAAAAGTAAACTGGTATTAAAATGTATATTTTTCGCAGTGTTATATATTTTGTTTATTCGCCAGATCAGTCAAACCTGTACAATTAAGGGGCGATCCTCTTGACAAGTCGTAAAGAATTCCTTCCTATACTTGGAGTCCTTAGTGAAAATGTTACTGTGCAACATAGGTGTATAACATAATTGAGCTCCGTGTTTTCTACACAACAATCTCCAGGCTAGTTCACTCGCATCAACCATAGGAGCCACAATAAATTGTGGTCTCCCAATAATATCAAACCATTGGGAAGACATATCACGAAAAATATAAATAAATTAAGTTGAACGAAGAACTCTTGTACATTTAATAAACAATATATTATAAAAAATGCAAGCGAAAATAGTATATTCATAATCAAATTACTATGATATTTTAATTAAAACGTTTTATTTTTCTTATGAACCACCACAGCCACACATTTTTTATGCCGTCTGTCAATTTTCTGTCAATGGCCATAGATAAGACATATATACTGAAATATATAAACCAAAGAGTACTTTTATATATCTGAAATAGGTGATATAGACTGATTTATTACTGATGATAGGGATGAGGCGTATATACTGGAACAGGTATAAATACCCAGTATGAACATACCAGTACGCACACCGGGTATGTACGGCAGAGGCCCGTTCCATACTCGATAGGTATGGCCGCCTCGTCCGACGGTGGCGGTATATACGCTCGCGACAACCCGCCCGCACACCGGGTATGACGTATGTACGGCAGAGGCCCGTTCCATACTATATACATTCCATACAATATTAAAATTAATATTATCATAAAATCTTATGACATTTTGTGAATAAATTGATTGATAACTATTACTAAGTATTTTAACAAAAATAATTTAGGAGATACTAAGATACCAAAAGGTACAAAATGAATTTTAAATATTATTAAGTATTTTAGATACAAGTTGTATCTTATAAACTTGTATCTTGTATTAACTGATGTTTTGGCTTTCAGTCCCGAGACTATTAAAGCTTCATCTGACGAAGAATCGGTGGGCTAGCCTGAACCCATGGGTTTGGGCCCTCCGCTGTTGGTAGGGCCACGCATGTGCTCATGCGTGCGTTTAACTATGGTGTGTCATCTAAGGGCTATCGAGGTCGCGGTTCGGACCGAAACCCCGATGGCCGTCGACTGTGCAATTAGCTAATCGGTGGCTGGGAGCGGTGAGAACCGGCCCGGAACGCGGGTGTACCTTGTGTACGCGTTGTGTTGGTCTCGCCGTGCTCGGAGGTGAGGGCGAACTAAAGTGTTTGTTGTTGCACTAACTGTGGGTGTAGTGTTATCCGGCGGGACCCCCTTCCTCGACCGGGTCGATGAAGACGTTTCGCGGGCGATGCTTGTTGACGTTCGCGTTTGTGTCGGATTGGTAATTTGCTGCGCTTACCACCAGAGGGTTGGGATGATGTTCGGCTCTATCGAAGAACCGTTTGGTCAGGTCTTTAAAATATTCGCGAATCGTCGGGAGTCTGCAATCGCTGTGCAGGTCGACGTTGCATTAATACCACTGCGCACCGGTTGCGCAGCGGATGAACTTATTTGTACTATTTGCAACTTGTACAAGCGAGTAGGGTGCGTGTGGGCGAAGGTCATGCATGCGTAAGACATAATAGGTCGTACATTGGCATGGCATTTTACTTTTAGCGTTAGTTAAATTGTGTAGCCGGCCGGAGACGAACGCGGCTCTATTGCGAACGTTATTAATCTGCGTAGTAAATGACATACGCGAGTCGAAAGTGACTCCTAAGTATTTGACCTTTTTCTCCCAGGGGAGCGGTTGGCCATAAAGGGATATTTGCCCCAACTTTCTGCATTGATGAGGGCCATTATAAAGATGTGACGGGTAAGTACTTAGTGTGAAATGAATCGCCACACTCTTTTCGGGATTTATTTCTATTCTCCATTTGCGGAACCAATCGCCGAGGCGGTCGGCAGCGCTTTGGAGTCGAGCGGTTAGTTGTCTAAGGTTGCGATCTGAATAAAAGAGCGCCGTGTCATCCGCGAAAAGCGCGAGATTGAGGTGGGGGTCTTTAGGTATATCGCTTGTGTAGAGCGTAAAGAGCAAAAGAGGCAGTAGACTTGTGGTACGTGAGGTGGCGGCTTGTGGAGAGGGTGCCTTGAACTCGATATTGAAAAGAGCGGTTCGACAAGAAGGCCCGGATGGTGTCTATGAGCCTATCTGGCAATTTGCAGAAAGCAAACCGTTGTGCCAGACCTTGTCGAATGCTTTTGCGACATCGAAGAAAAGTATGTTTAGGGTGATTTAGGCCTTTTAGGATATGCTCCGTTAGGCGAAATAATTGATCGGGACAGGAATGTCTAGCTCGAAAGCCGAATTGTTCCGCCGGCAGAAGGCCGTTGGAAAACACGTGCTATTTGAGTCTGTTTATTAGAAGCCGATCGTAGAGCTTTCCCAGGCAACTGAGGAGGCTGATGGGACGATAACTAGAGAGCTGGTTGGCTGGCTTATTCGGCTTGCGAATGCCGATAAACCAGCCAACCGTGGCTTCTTTCCAGTCGTCCAGAAAGGAGCAACTGGAGAGTAAAGTATTGAAAATGGTCGCCAGTAAACAGATAAGCGGCCCAGGGAGAGCTTTGAAAATTTTGTTACTAAGATTATCTGGGCCCGGGGTGGATTTAGTTTTTAAATTTTTAGTAATGTCTTGGACCTCTTCGGGGGTCGCTGAACTCAAAGGATCGCCTTCCGGTGGAAGCGCAGCCCTAATTTCGATTACGCGGTCCACCTCCGTTAGGTGGGCTGTATCAATGTGTTGTGATGGCGTACATTGCTGCTCTAGGTTGTCCGCAAGATATTCGGCTTTTTCGGAGTCATCTAGGGCTACTGAAGCGCTATTAGGGCTAACTAACGGCGGTAGAGATTCGCGGGGGTCTGCTTTCAGACTGCGGGCCAACCGCCAGTAGGTGGTGTGCGATGGCTCGATGTTCTCTAGGAGGGTGTCCCACGTGGTATGTTGGTGTTCCGATACACGATCTGTGACTTCTAGCTGAAGGCGTCGAAGTAGGGTTCGGTTGGATTCCTATCGGTATCGGTCGAAAGCGCGTTTGGCTGCATTTTTCTGTCTAATTAGCAGTCGCAGGTCGGGCGGAAAGTTAAACCGTCGGTCGCCCGACATTCCGACGTTCCGAGTCTGCGACTGCGGAAGTAATAGATTCTCGGAGACTTACTATCGCTCGATTTGCGTCATCGAACGTAGCTATCGTCTCGGGTAGGTCGACTAAGCCCCAGGACTTGAGTTTGACCTCAAGACGATGCCAGTCCACTACGGATTTGGTCGGAGGGACCACGCCGGCGTTCTGGCCCAGTTTACACAGGACGGGCCTGTGATCTGAATCTAGTTCATGGATTGTCTCTATCGACTCAATGTCGAGCGAGACCTCCTTGAATAATATGATATCTAGGATACTCGGTGTTGCGTGTTGGTAGTTGCCCACCGTAGGATACCTAGTGGGAGTCGCAGGAGCGATTATGCTTAAGTTTAAATTATCGGATAAGCTAAAGAAATGCTTTCCGTTGTTATTTGGGATGCTGTCGATGTCCCATGAGCCGTGTTTGCAGTTTAGATCTCCTGCAATTATCACGGAAGGGCCTAAGTTGAGTAGCGTATCTAGGTCGCTTCGTAATAAGGTTTTGTTCCCCGAGAGGTAGGCTGAGATTAGTACAAGCGGCCTATGGCCGGTGAGCGCTAACCTACACGCGGATGCCTCTATATGGCTTAGCTCTGGGTTGTCGAGCGGGCTACAGTGCAAGGACCGTTTGTAATTAATTAAGTTGCCTCCCAGACGGTTTGCTAACCGCTCGTGGCGGACTATGTTGTATTTTACGATTTTGGGATCGCGAACACTAGGTTTTAAGAAGGTCTCTTGCACTAGAAAAATATCTACATTATAATCGCGAAGGAAATGTGCGATTTAGTCCCTTTGACCCTTAATGCCGTTTGCGTTGAAATACGAAACAACCAGAGCCCGAGGTTTTGTTCTGGCGGTTGTACTTCCCATTAAAGTTTTTTATGAGTTCTAACTAACGACGCGGCGGAGCGCGGTTTTATTGCGCGCACTATTAAGTTTATGGTTGGCTTGTAAATGCCCAGAGGGCTTCTACAAGCATTTTATGATCGCTAATGGCTTTAAATCGCTCGGTATATCTTATAAAGTGACAGTCATTGACGAATAGATTTTTATTGCTATTAGATTTTGCTTGCGTCGCCTTTGTCCTTCTGTATTTTTATCTAGGCTATTTTAAATATTACCTCTAATTATTATAACTTAATTAAACACGGAACAACTATAAATTAAATAATAATTTGTGAAATTACTACTTCTTTAATATTCACTTTTAGAATGTCATATAGGTATGGTACTTATTACACTTAAATAAAATCACAATACGCTTTAATCCAGTACTTATTTTTTAGTAGTTATTGTAATGAAACTAAAATCATAATATGAGTTAATCCAATTATAATATGCTTTATAATTAATATGCTTTTTATTTTTTTTTATAATTTAATTATAATATGCTTTAGTTCAGTACGTTTTTGTAATGAAATCGCAACATTGTTATCACAGTATAGAGACCTACTGCGTAATAAGTAATGCGTAATGCTTTTGAGTAATATTACTTCGATCGTCTTCGATGAGTGAGATGTAATAAACATCACATTACTTTTTTAAAGCACCGTTTTGCGTATCCCTAATTCCCAATGTTAAATTTTTAATGTCAAAAATATTTTATACAAAGTAATAATGACAAAAGTTGGAAATAAATTGTGCATAAAAAATTAAACTATTTATTAATGAACTATTAAAAACTTAAAATTCAGAAACTTTTCCTATCGAACATGTTAAATGCAAATTGCAAACATAAATCATAAGTGGACCTCACCTGGAGGACCTTAACCGAGCTTTGCTCAGTTTGTTTTTTTTTTTTTGGTAAATCGTATATTTTGGATGAGTATGAGATGAACAAATTACTGAGTAATCAAACATGCATAATATTTTTCGATCTTACGGCGTAATAATAAGAAAATATGAACTGGTGTTTTTCACAAAAGAAAGACCTTTAAGAAAAAAGGGAAAAAGGAACAAAATTATCTGG